CAACAAACTTATTCAAAAGATTGGTATTGATAGCCATCTTTCAATACAGTAGAATGAAAGGTCACTTGGCTTTTCTTTAAGCCCCAGCTCCTCAATAACATTTCTAAATTCACAGTGTGTTTTTCCACTTTTTTTTTTCAATACGCCAGCCATCTTCCACCGAAGCAAGGTAACCCAAAAAAGAAAGAAATGCTTTCATCATTATTACAAAATACTAGTTTAACATAAACACCATTACCTCTTCACAGGTAGAGTGTATTTTTGTTTCATTAGCCTGTTACTAGTGTTGTAATATGGGAGAGTTTGAGATGACAAATAAACAATACAATTTATAATCTTTATTATAAAAACACTTTGTATAAAAACATAAGGAGTCTTTTTTCTGTGATATAACTACATATATTACATACAAAGTCATATAAAAAATATCAAGAAAATAACATCATAATCCTAGGTAGTAGGTTGGTAGACAGCAACCGCCCAGGGAGGTACTACCGTCCTGCCAAGCGAGTGTAAAACGAAAGCCTGTAATTGTTTTACATGATGGTAGGATTGCTGGTGTCTTTTTTCTGTCTCACAAACATGCAAGATTTCAGGTACGTCTTGCTACTACTTCTTACACTTAGGTCACACTACACATACATGTACAAGCATATATATACACACCCCTCTGGGTTTTCTTCTATTTTCTTTCTAGTTCTTGTTCTTGTTTATTTCCTCTTATCTCCATGGGGAAGTGGAACAGAATTCTTCCTCTGTAAGCCATGCGTGTTGTAAGAGGCGACTAAAATGCTGGGAGCAAGGGGCTAGTAACCCTTTCTCCTATATAATATTACTAAATTTAAAAGGAGAAACTTTCGTTTTTTCTTTTGAGCCACCCCACCTCAGTGGGATGGGGCTGGTACATTGAAAGAAAGATCATAATAACCCTAGTGCCTCAGTATCATATGTCACTGCCATCTTCGGGTGTCTTATGACACTACCAATCCCAGTGTCATAACACTCCATCATTGTGTCAATTGACACTTTCTTGTCACCGTGTTGTCAGACACATCATCTCCGTGGTATCCACAGCACTGCCTTTTCATCAGTGTCATGACACTTAACCTCTAAGGAAGCCTTTTCACTGCGTCATTTGACACTTCATCACTGAGTTACATGACCCTTTCTAACTTGTGTGTCGTGTCACCTGACACTTACCAGGTTACCACACCCTGACTTTCCTCAGTACTGTATCTGTGTCACCTAACACACAACGCTCACTGGGTACACACACCCTGGCTTTCCATGTCCATCCTCTACAGAGACCCACAGGTCCCTAAGGTGTGCTACAGAAGCCTAAATCAGCAGGTGTCCACTCCGTGAGGCAGTTTGGTAAAGACTCTCAGTAAGGCCTAGATGTCACCAGCAGGTGTATTCCGTGAGAGTCTGGGGAACACTGTCAAAGGCCAGTCACCAGCAAGTGTAGAATCTGGTAAATACTGTCAAAGGCTGGTCACCAGCAGGTGTAGAATCTGGTGAATACTGTCCAAGGCCAGTCACCAGCAGGTGTAGAGTCTGGTGAATACTGTCAATTAGGCCAGCTTGGCAGTCCCCACATTGGGTTTGATGACGTACCCCATGGTACTGCCAGCCGGCAGGTTAACTACTTAACCACCAGTTTCATAGGAGGTCGCAACAACCATCATTCACACATAATCACTGTCTTTGCAGAGGTGTCCAAATCATCTTCTTCTTTCAACAAACCGGCCGTATCCCACCGAGGCAGGGTGGCCCAAAAAGAAAAACAAAAGTTTCTCTTTTTAATTTAGTAATTTATACAGGAGAAGGGGTTACTAGCCCCTTGCTCCCGGCATTTTAGTCGCCTCTTACAACACGCATGGCTTACGGAGGAAGAATTCTGTTCCACTTCCCCATGGAGATAAGAGGAAATAAACAAGAATTAGAGCTAGAAAGAAAATAGAAGAAAACCCAGAGGGGTGTGTATATATATGCTTGTACATGTATGTGTAGTGTGACCTAAGTGTAAGTAGAAGTAGCAAGACGTACCTGAAATCTTGCATGTTCATGAGACAGAAAAAAGGACGCCAGCAATCCTACCATCATGTAAAACAATTATAGGCTTTCGTTTTACACTCACTTGACAGGACACTAGTACCTCCCTGGGCGGTTGCTGTCTACCAACCTACTACCTAGGAGGTGTCCGAATATGACAGTTTAAATGTCACTCCAAACAGCCAATATCCCAAACCTCTCCTTTAAAGTGCAGGCATTGTACTTCGCACCTCCAAGACTCAAGTCCAGCTAGCCAGTTTCCTTGAATCCCTTCACAAAATATTACCCTGCTCACACTCCAACAGCTTGTCAGGTCACAAAAATCATTCGTCTGTATTTATTCCTGTCTAACATGCTCACACATGCCTGCTGCATATCCAGGCCCATTGTGCACAAAACCTCTTTTACTCCTCCCTCCATTCTTTCCTAGGATGACCCCTACCGCTCCTCCCTTCCACTACAGATTTATGCACCCTCCAAGTCATCCTGTTTTACTCCAACCTCTCTAAATGACCAAACCATCTTTATAATCCCTCTTCAGCCCTCTTAATAATATTTTTTGTAATTCCACACATCCTAATTTCCACACTATTTACACCACACCTCCTAATTTCCACACTATTTACACCACACATTGCCTTTAGACACGACATCTCCACTGCCTCTAGCCACCTCCTCACTGCAGCATTCACAACCCATGCTTCACACCTATATAAGGGTGTTGGCACCACTATACTCTTGTACATTCCCTTCTTTGCCTCCATGGATAACTTTTTTTTTTGTTTTTTTGTCTCCACAGACACCTCAGTGCACCATTCACTTTTTTTTCTTCATCAGTTTTGTGATTAACCTCATCCTTCATGAACCCATCTGCTGACAAATCTACTTCTAAATATCTGAACACATTCACTTCTTCCATACTCCCTCCCTCCAGTGTCATATCTAATTTTTCTTTACCTAACTCGTTTGATACCCTCATCACCTTACTCTTATCTATGTTCACTTTCAACTTTCTTTCTTTACACACCCTCCCAAACTCATCCACTAAAGTTTCCAACTTCTCCTTAGAATCTCCCAAAAGCACAGTATCATCAGTGAAAAGTGATTGTGACAACTCCCATTTTATATTTGATTTCCCATAATTTAATCCCACCTGTCTTCCAAACACCCTAGCATTTACTTCTTTTACAACTCCATCTTTAAATATGTTAAACAACCATGGTGACTCATGAAATTCTAATGACATGATTGCAAGCAAACCATTCCATGGGTGGGGTTCTAACCCTGCCCGTGGTTTGGTTTTTTTAACCATGGTGACAATACACCCCCCTATCTAAGGCCTACTTTATTGGAAAGTAATCTCCTCTCTCCTACGTGCCCTAACCTGAGCCTCACTCTCCTCATAAAAATTCTTTACAGCATTTAGTAACTTACTATTTATTCCATACACTTGTAATATCTGCCACATTGCTTTCCTATCCACCCTATCATATGCCTTTTCTAAATCCATAAATGAAATGAAAACATCCCTACCTTTTTCTAAATACTGTTCACATATATGCTTCAATGTAAACATTTGATCTACACATTCCCTACCCATTCTAAACCCTACTTTCTGTCTTACCTTTAATTCTTTTGATAACCCTACCATACACTATACCTGGTATAGTCAGTAAACTCTTCTTCTTTCAACTAACGTTCCGTATTCCACTGAGGCAGGGTGGCCAAAAAGAAAAACAGAAGTTTCTCTTTTTAACTTCAGCAATTTATGCAGAAGGGGTTACTAGCCTCTTGCTCCCGGCACGTTAGTCGCCTCTTACTAAATGCATGGCTTATGGAGGAAGAATTCTGTTCTACTTCCCTATGGAGAAAATTTTTCTTAGTCTCAGCACAATTTGTTGACTCTGCCTCACCCACTCTCATTTGCTGTCCTTTTGCACTCCCTCACCACTCTTCACCACTCTTTTACTCTCCATATACTCAATCCTTATATCTCTTCTGCTTTGTAAAAACCTCTCACAAGTGATCTTTTTCTCTTTTATCACATCATCATTTCACCAACCATTCCTCTCCTCCTGCATCCACTCTCCTGTAGCCACAACCTTCTGCCCCGCATTCTAGCACTACATTTTTAAAATTATCCCACCCCTCTTCCACCCTCACACTGCTTGTACTGTCACTAGCCCACCTTTCTCCCAATAGTTGCTTATATCTCACCTAGACTTCCTCCTCCCTTAGTTTATAAACTTTCACCTATCTTTTGCTGTTGCCATTTTCCTTTTGCTTCATCTACCTCTTACTCTAACTGTAGCTACAACTAAATAATGATCCGATGTATCTGTTGCCCCTATATAAACATGCACATCCTGAAGTCTACCTATCAGCCTTTTATCCACCAATAAATAATCTAACAAACTATTTTCATTACGTGCTGTGTCATATCTTGTGTACTGTATATTTGTTTATCCTCGTTTTCTTCAAATATGTATTACTTATTAGCAGACTTCTTTCTTAACATACTTCAATTAAAGGTTCCCCATTTTCATTTACCCCAAACATACCTACTGCTCCCTCCACAACAGTTTGGGCTGACATAAAAAAAAGAGACATTGCCATCATTCATTCAACAACTGTCTTGCCAGAAGTGCACTACCATTCAAATGAACAGCAACCTGTCTATATTACCTTCAGAGTTGAGGCGCTGCACTTCTCATGTTCTACACTCATGTCTGGATAATTCATCTAACTTGAATCAGTATTTATTTCTGATATCTTTTGCAGTTGATTATTCATAATATTTCCCTTTAGCCTTAAAAAGTTTGCAAAATAAAGACCTTCCTCCTTACAGGTGAATATTACAACATATTTTATAAGGATAGAGTTTAGTGCATTAAGAAATAAATGCTATATACACACATACTGATACTGACCCGTTTTGTCTGCAGCGCTGATGATCAGAGAGTACGAAGCACTCGCCAACGAGGTCGTTCATCTAACAAGCAGGCAGTCAACGTACAAGCACATCAAAGAAATAATTTCAGCAAAATTTTTATTTTAATAGGAACATTCTAATTTTCATTTCCTGTTGAAAGGTTTGATTACTTTGTACATCTTCTTATTATAAATACTTGCACTATAACTGAATGAATTTTTTTTTTGTTGTTTTTTTTTTACTTTTTTTTTTTTTTACTTTTTTTTCTCTTCTATAGTTAATGTTTTAATATCTAGCCAAGCATAAAGAATTTTAATTCCTAAAATTTCTATCACTGTTAAAAAAAAAATTTTCAATAAGTGTTCTTGAGTTATAATGATGTAATGGAAAAATAACATTTTAAAAATTATAAAATTTTGTGAAATGAATCATATTGAATTTGTGAATTTTGTTAATTTGTTACTCCAAGTGTTTTACAATTTTTTGAATGGATTAAGCTAAAATTTGGTTAAAATGTACATTTTTATAGTACATTTTTATTTCAATTTCTTGGGGTACAAAATTAATTTGAGTGGCCCTAAATATTGCAGAATTTAAATTAGTTTTATTTCACTAGAGATCATGGCTGAATTTATCGTTCATTACTATTGTCAGATTATATTACAAACAAAACAGATCTCTGGTTATACTACGTTTATGTACAAGTTTGTTGTGTCTTGCATTTCATTATTGAATAGAATAAAGTAAAATTACAAGTTTAGAGAAATGGACTTGAATATATTCACTTAACTTATTGAAGATGTTTTGGTAATTTGATCTTGAGTAATTCCATATATAGGGGCAAGAAAGTGTGGTGTTAATAGTGGTAGTGGTGATATTTATAGTAACTGGTAGTAGTCAGTGAAGGTTGCTGGAAGTGGAGAAATGTTTATGTCAGTGTTGTGTCACATGGCAGTCTTATGGAAGTATGTTCTATCTTATTGGCTAATGTAACTGAAATATTATAACTGCTAGCTTGTTGAATGATGGTGTTGGAGGTGGCAATGACTGGCACTTCAAGGCATCTTCGTGGTTTTAAATCAGGTTCCCAGTAGAGCAAATTAAAGTCTTAATGCATGAGATGTCTCTCAGTGTTTGTATGTGAGATACACATGTTAGCTTCATTCCTGCTGCAAGTATTTTTATGTTCACAAATTCTCATGAACAATTCTCTTGAGTTTTTCCCACTTAAGCCTTGTTGCATTGTCCTAAGAGGATGGTATATACTGTACTCCCATTTTCTGAAGAAGGAACATCAGATGAACACTTTTTTGGTGAGATCACTAACTGAAGTGGTGGCTTGTATGTTACTCATGGCTAAAGCTTGTGTGGTGTGTACCTGTATCAGTGCAAGTTAACTCCAGAAATTTTGGCTTATCTCTGGTATCTGGTAATTTGTGTGGAATGGTTTGATCTCTGCTTCTGCAATCCTGAGTGAAATGAGGGCAATGAAAACAATAAATGTCAAATGTAGGTACGTTCTTCTTTCAAGCATACTTTAAGATTAAAATAATGCCCAACCTTATTAGGTGCTTTGGTGCAACAAAAATTAATTCTGGCTTGGCAGCGTGTAGCAGGACATAACAGGATTTCCTAATGCTTTTCACTGCATGCCCAGTGGCTTCTAGGCTTGTGTTGTGGATGGATATGTGTCTGTGGTCTTCCTGCTGATGTGATCTTTAATCCTGATTTTATCAGACATTTTTTGCTTCAGGAAATCTTGGGACATCCTGCTATGAGTTGCCAGGTCTGCATTAATTTTTTTTTTGCACTGAAACACCTAACAGGGTCAGGTATTATTTTGACATAAAAATATGGTAGGTGCCTCTACCCAACATATTTTAATGATGAGCACTACATGTTGAGTACTTGGGAAGAATCCCACTATGATGATGTGGTGTTTGGCATAAAAACTTTGGTGTGGAGAGAAATATGCAAGGTTGTCCTTGTTAGTAGACTTCCTATAAACCTTGATGGACACTATCTTTCTTGGGTGCTCTACACTGTTGAGGAAGGGAAGCTTACCATTGGCTTTGAATTCAAGTGTAAATGTGATCTTTGAGTCTATGTTGTTGATTTTTATATAGAGGCTTTTGTAGAGTAGAGAACTAGGATTGTGTTTACATACTGGAGCTGTGTGACAGTTGTGAGCCCTAGAAAATGAAAGGCTTCAGTTCCTATGTTTTGAAAAATTTGTCTTCAGAGAAGAAGGATGGAGACAAAGCCAACAAGTGATGAAAAAGACATATACAGAGAGGAACTTTATTGAGATGCTTCACCCATGGACAGGTAAAACGTCTCAAGTTGAAGTTAACACACAAGTCCAAGAGTGCAATAAAGTCAAGGTGGGACAAAGCAAGGATGTGTTCATCAGTGAGCTTTCTATGGAGAATATTAATGGTATAGAGTTAATTGCAACAATAGTGAAGAGGGAAGCGATGTCAAAGGATGTTGTGTGTTCCTCATGTTGATCTTGGAGATGCATCTCAGTAAATCCCCAGAATGTTTAAGGTGTGCAAGACTGACAGTACCAAGAACCAGGTGACCAGCAAGTTCGTGAGGATGGGGGGGGGGCACACCCTATACTTGAGATAATAGATCTGATGGTAATGCCTGGTTTGTGTGTTACGCGAGGCTAAGTCTGGTGGATCTAGGCTACCTAGGAGGAAGTGCATAAGAACTCCCACACAAAATGAACGTATAACCAACTATTGATTTTACACTTGAAATCTTAATTGATGGTAAGCTTCCTTGCTTTAACAAGCCTGTAGAGCACCTGAGAAAGAGGCAATTTCTTTTGAGGATTATAGGGATTCTGCCAATAAGGATGACCTTGTGCATTTTTCACATCATGATTCTTGCACCAAATAATGATGTGCTCATAGGATTCTTCTTGAGGGCTCTATGTATCTGTAGCCCTGAGTTGTTGGAAAAAGAATTCATCTACATTTGATGAAGATTTACTTGTTCTCACTTTTCTCACTGTAGAAGTAGAGCTCAAACCATTCTACACAATCCACTGACTACCAGTGATAACTGAAAATTTCTGGCATTAGCCTTCATTGATGTAGGAATACACATCATGTATAAATTACCAAAAGTAGTATACAAGTCACCACTATTGTCACCATTTCAATTGGTGACCTCACCAAGAGAAAATCTCCAGTGAATGTTCCCTCTAGGAAAATTGGAATACAGTATACAGCATGAACATAATGCCCACAGCAGGGATGATGCTAATAAATGTGTCATGCAGAAACATTGAAAAACATCTTTTGCATTGACAAGATGCTAATATGGTCTACTGGGAACCAGATTTAAAACAATGAAGGTGCCTTGAAGCTTCACTCATTGCCACCTCTTACCACCAATGCTCAAAAGGCTGCCAGTTATATTTCAGTTACATTAGTCCATATGTTAGATCATACTTCCACTTAAGTGCAACATATCACAGCAGTGAGATAAACTTTTCTTCACTTTCAGCAATCTTCACTGATTACTTACTCTACTGCTACCAGCCATACAAACAGTAATATAACCACCACTACTAATACTACAGTCTCTTGTCTCTATATATAGCATGTCTACTCTCATACTCCTCTTATATTTAAAGTGATCAAGGTCCAAGGACTGAAACTGCTTCAATTAGAGGTGTCTCAGTGAAGCATGTGTTCATTTCTCTCAAATTGTTGGCAGTCAGTTTCCCTCTTATTACATAAACCTACAAGGAAAGAATTTATTTTTTAATATACTTCTTTTAAAAAATTACTTTAAATTTATTTTATAAGTGTCTTAGGATCATTCTGTAGAGGAATAACTTTCATATATGCCAGAAGGAAAGAAGATTTTCCCAAAATCATTAATATGTAGGCATATATATAACAAGCAGAGTGTAGTAAATATGTGTCATACCATTTATGAAATTTTTTGAAATAAATTTAACTAATGAATGTAGTTTTTCTTATCCCTATTGTCCTCTTCAAGGCGGGCTTCTTGATGTGACAGAGACGCTCTTGGTCTAAGGAATTAAACCCTTTGGTCTCCTTCCTCAGACTGAATCTAAGTACCCCCAATCCTCCCTTCCCTATCCCATCCTCCCCCCCCTTTTTTCTCCTTTCCTCCTCCCTCCCAACCCTCCCCTTTCTCTCCCATTTGTAGTCTCTGGGGCCCTCCCCTCTGGCATTACAGTTTCTAGGTAGGGGGTAGTGTGCAGGGGTTCATCCCACTCCGAGGAGTCCCTCGGGGGTGGTGTAGTTTGCCATGGAATTTGAATTGTCTGGAGGTGCCCTGCTGCCTTCCTGGATTTCTGAGAAGTGGGCAGGGTGTCCTGCAGATGATGGGTGTATCTCCAGAGGCTGCCTGTTCAGTAGATGTGAGGTTGCTATCCTGGAGCACTGGTTTACTGGTGTGAAGGGTAGGGTATGGCACAGGTTCCATGCTGCATCTGCACTGCTTGTGGACGTGAGGCCCTCTCAGATGAGGGGATGAACTTACAGCCCTTCCATGCCTTCTAGTGACTGTCCCTCTGCTGTCCCTCATTTTTTTTCTTTCCTTCTTTCTTTTTTTCTTTAAAATAATAAGAAAGACGTACCACTATCATGGAATCTTTGTTCTGTGATAACCCTTCACTTCCCAGGCCTCTTTCCGTTCCCACATCCTGTTCTGACCCAGCTTCGTTATTGGCCTCTGCCACACCTTTAATAATGCGTTCGGCTTCCCTGAATACAGTGCAATGGTTTTTGTATTGGCCACCTCCCTCAGGTCAGACTGCCCGTGGTACTGCTCCTAAGTGTTCCAGACCACCTACTGACGACGGTTCTTCGATGTCTGCCCAAAAATGACCTACACGACACCCATTTCCTTTGCGCACCATGTTTACAAATACAATGGTCCCTCGTTTTTCGTAATATATCCGTTCCTGGAGGAGCTACTATAAACGAAATTTACGATTTGCGAATCAATTTTCCCCATAAGAAATAATGTAAATACAATTAATCCATTCCTGACACCCAGAAGTATTAAAACAAACAAAATTACAGTTTGGAAGGGGAATCCCCTTCCAGCAACCTCAGGTACCAATTGCTTCTCTGGGGTTGCTTCTCTTCTCTGTTTCTTAATGCCACTAGGACCACCTTGAGAGTCCCTCTAGTCCTGTCTCGCAAAGTAACTGTGGAGAGAGCTCTGTTTCTGGCGTCTCTTTAACACTTCCCTAAAATGGCCCAAGACTTTGTCACTGTACATATTTCTCACCTTTACCACAGGCTTGGCACTAGAAGCTTTCTTTGGAGCCATGGTAGCTTATTTAGTACTTGCAAGCACTAAAATGAGTGGAATATTATGAAATATTTCGTAGGAGCACTTGAGGGGACCTTCACTCACTGGTAAACAATGCCAGACTGGCTGGGTAGGGAGGTCGCCTTGGCTCACACCGTGTGTACGCGTCCCGGACAAACTACTATTCGCGAGTCAACCTATGAAAAGCGAGTCCATGTTTATACGAAAATACTCCTATGATTGGCGAAATTTACGATTGCCGAGAACTACGAAAAGCGAGGGACCACTGTACGCAGTGAACTAAATTGTTTTCCTTACAACTGACATCTCCAACTGATTATCTTTCTGGTCGGAGTATTGGTAAAGTCTTTTACAACACGTTGGCCAAAATATGTCCTTTCACGCTCTTCGAAGCGGTACACACGTCATTACAGTTCAGAATTCAGAACAAGCTTGTTATCTTTCCCATGTCACTTCCATAGATAACATTCCAATAACTTCATTAGCACACTACTCTCAATTCTTGCAGTGGTATGTGGTTTTACTGGGTACCATTATACAGAGTGATTTTCTGTCTTACGGTGATGATATTTTAGAGCAATTAGCCCCTCAGGGCCTTCCTATTCTCAGAGTGGATACATACGTCCTGCCCGCTTGTGGGCAGAAGCGCTTTCCCAGTAACATTGCCCGCTGAATCTTCGACTGCCATGAACTTCCGTTTTCCGTTTATATTGCAGGCCATTGCCCAGAGGTTTGTAAAGTAGTTCCTACTCCCCAACAGTGTCATAATTGCTGGTGCTTTGGACACCTCGCTAAATACTGCAGACCTGCTGCAGAGTGCCCAGTCTGCGGTGCCTCAGATGATGCCGATACAACTTACAGTCTTCCCCCTCGTCTCAATTGCAATGAATCTCATCCTTCTTTTTCATGTTGTTGTCAAGTCTATCACAAAGAACAAGAAATCCATCATCTTAAGGAGAGTGAAGGCCTTACACTATGGCTCTGTCTCAGCTACGCCTGCAGGGAAATCTTCCTCATGTTCCTTAGTCTCGAGTAGCTCAGAGATCTCTAACCTTAATGGTCCTCCCGCCTACCAGCTTCTCTACTATCATGTCTTCCAGGGTCACCCCTATTTTTCTAATTCTTTTGTGGTTTTATCCTCCAAAATAACTACCTCCTTACCTCTTCCTACTTCTACTTCTTCATCTTACTCACTAGTTTCTCAGTTTACAAGACCTCGCAAGCCTACACCTTCGCATCTATCACCTGTGAAGTTGAATCTATCTTCTACCTCGGTGCCTAGTTCTTACCCCCTTTCTAACTTTCACATGAAGGTGGAGGTTCACCCCCCCCTCATGTAGTCCCCCCACCATCACCATCATCTGTGGGGTGGGTCCCACTGTGACTCGTGGTGATCAGTTGGAGACTCTTCTCGCTTCTCATTCTCTTCATGTTTTAAATATAGGTGCTCCTACCCATTCTGCTTCTCACACTTGATCTCTCTCTTGCATTGATCTTTCTATCTGTTCCTCGTCAATTGCACTTGATTACGCTTGGTCTGTTCTCCTTGACTTACACAACAGTGATCACTTTCCTATTCTTACTTCTACTACATATTCCCAACCGCCTCATAGTCTTCGTTGGCAATTTCCACGAGCGACTTGGGACTTAAGCTCTCATTTTTTTTTTTATTATTATCACACTAGCCGATTCCCACCAAGGCAGGGTGGCCCGAAAAAGAAAAACTTTCACCATCATTCACTCCATCACTGTCTTGCCAGAAGGGTGCTTTACACTACAGTTTTTAAACTTCAACATTAACACCCCTCCTTCAGAGTGCAGGCACTGTACTTCCCATCTCCAGGACTCGAGTCCGGCTTGCCGGTTTCCCTGAATCCCTTCATAAATGTTACTTTGCTCACACTCCAACAGCACGTCAAGTATTAAAAACCATTTGTCTCCATTCACTCCTATTAAACACGCTCACGCATGCCTGCTGGAAGTCCAAGCCCCTCACACACAAAACCTCCTTTACCCCCTCCCTCCAACCTTTCCTAGGCTGACCCCTACCCCGCCTTCCTTCCACTACAGACTGATACACTCTTGAAGTCACTCTGTTTCGCTCCATTCGCTCTACATGTCCGAACCACCTCAACAACCCTTCCTCAGCCCTCTGGACAACAGTTTTGGTAATCCCGCACCTCCTCCTAACTTCCAAACTACGAATTCTGTGCATTATATTCACACCACACATTGCCCTCAGACATGACATCTCCACTGCCTCCAGCCTTCTCCTCGCTGCAACATGCATCACCCATGCTTCACACCCATATAAGACCGTTGGTAAAACTATACTCTCATACATTCCCCTCTTTGCCTCCAAGGACAAAGTTCTTTGTCTCCACAGACTCCTAAGTGCACCACTCACCCTTTTCCCCTCATCAATTCTATGATTCACCTCATCTTTCATAGACCCATCCGCTGACACGTCCACTCCCAAATATCTGAATACATTCACCTCCTCCATACTCTCTCCCTCCAATCTGATATCCAATCTTTCATCACCTAATCTTTTTGTTATCCTCATTACCTTACTCTTTCCTGTATTCACTTTTAATTTTACACACCCTACCAAATTCATCCACCAATCTCTGCAGCTTCTCTTCAGAATCTCCCAAGAGCACAGTGTCATCAGCAAAGAGCAACTGTGACAACTCCCACTTTATGTGTGATTCTTTATCTTTTAACTCCACGCCTCTTGCCAAGACCCTCGCATTTACTTCTCTTACAACCCCATCTATAAATATATTAAACAACTACGGTGACATCACACATCCTTGTCTAAGGCCTACTTTTACTGGGAAATAATTTCCCTCTTTCCTACTTACTTTAACTTGAGCCTCACTATCCTCGTAAAAATTCTTCACTGCTTTCAGTAACCTACCTCCCACACCATACACCTGCAACATCTCCCACATTGCCCCCCTATCCACCCTGTCATATGCCTTTTCCAAATCCATAAATGCCACAAAGACCTCTTTAGCCTTATCTAAATACTGTTCACTTATATATTTCACTGTAAACACCTTGTCCACAGACCCCCTACCTTTCCTAAAGCCTCCTTGTTCATCTGCTATCCTATTCTCCGTCTTACTCTTAATTCTTTCAATAATAACTCTACCATACACTTTACCAGGTATACTCAACAGACTTATCCCCCTATAATTTTTGCACTCTCTTTTGTCCCCTTTGCCTTTATACAAAGGAACTATGCATGCTCTCTGCCAATCCCTAGGTACCTTACCCTCTTCCATACATTTATTAAATAATTGCACCAACCACTCCAAAACTATATCCCCACCTGCTTTTAACATTTCTATCTTTATCCCATCAATCCCGGCTGCCTTACCCCCTTTCATTTTACCTACTGTCTCACGAACTTTCCCCACACTCACAACTGGCTCTTCCTCACTCCTACAAGATGTTATTCCTCCTTGCCCTATACACGAAATCACAGCTTCGCTATCTTCATCAACATTTAACAATTCCTCAAAATATTCCCTCCATCTTCCCAATACCTCTAACTCTCCATTTAATAACTCTCCTCTCCTATTTTTAACTGACAAATCCATTTGTTCTCTAGGCTTCCTTAACTTGTTAATCTCACTCCAAAACT